CTTCCTCCTAATCATTCCTGGCTAGTTTGTGCGGCATGTTTTACAACTGGGCTGCTCATGGGATAGAAATCTACAGGACTGAACTGGTCTGAATCCAAGCACTCTGACTAAGTTTGTGAACTGGAGCCAAACTATTCCATCATTTTTCCTTCCTAACTTTATTAATATCCACAATCTAAATGTAACATCTGTAAAAATATATAGAATTATCCAACACATAGGAGGAAAAAGGATGATGGAATGAATAGCAAGGATTCTTCTTTTTTAAAAAACAACAACACTGGATTATATTGCAGTATGCACAGAAAGCAATACAGAACTTTATATAAATAATTAGATGAGATGAATGAAGAACATTAACCTTAATGAATGCTTCCTTCCTAAAGCTCCTTTTGGAATAATTATGTCTGTTAAAATGAATGCTTTATCAGCAATCTCTTTTCTGTTAGGGATAATTTCAATATTAAAAGATTGGGACTTGCTGATAAATGTATTTATTTGGGAAAAGAGAATGTATAAAGATAAAGTAGATGACAATAGTAAGAAACAAAGAATGGGGAGGTGGAATGGGTCCAACAGGCAGCCTATGATATTTCCACGTATCGCTATGTGATCAGCTAGAATCTGTAATTAGACTGGCTTGACAGGTCCTTCGAAGCATGCTTGGAAATAACATATTTTTACTAAAAATTTTATAACATGCTTTATTGTTGCTGACACCAAACAGAATACCACCAGCAAGAATTGTTAAGATAATATTAGTGATCTGAGATAAATGTAAACATGTTTTGTTATCAGATTTTATTTATTTATTTAAAATATTTTTACTCCGCCTTTCTCCTTAAAAGGACCCAAGGTGGCTTGCAATTAAAAGACAATATTTAAAAGCTAAAAACAGGGAGTATATAAATATTTAAAAACAACCAAACAAGTTTTATATTAAAAATTTTCAATAATTTTTTAAAAAACAACAGAGCACAACAATCCATTTAAAAAAAACACAACACCCCTCTCAGGCTGCCAGTTACTAAGGAAAAGCCTGTCTGAAGAGGAAGGTCTTCACTGCTTGTGGAAGGAGAGCAAAGATGGGGCCAGCCTAGCTTCCTGTGGGAGAAAGTTCCAGAGTCTGGGAGCAGCAACAGAGAAGGCTCTCTCCCGTGTCCCTGCCAAATGCACCTGTGAGGGTGATATGATGGAAAGAAAGACCTCCCCTTATTATCTTAATTCCCAGACAGGCTCATAGAGGAAGAGGCTGTCTTTTAAATACCTTTTTAACATGTAAGTCTCCTACAATCGGATCATTTTTGAACCAGAATTCAATGTAATATTCACTTTTGGAAGGTTGCAAAATCAATAAATATACTGAATAATTTCTAAACTATTTAAAAAATATGATCAGTGCTTCAAAACAATGGAGGAAATGTGGCAGCCAATACTCTGGAATTTTAAAATTCAATATTTTTACAAAGCAGAAGGGGAATTTCAGATATGCTTAGAGAGCAGCAGCTCAGCTTGAAGAGGCATTGTTGAAAAAGCCAATCCATTCACTTTCATAGATATATTAGATTTTGTTACATTCAGACGAAGTGAAGGATGCTGATTACATTTTGAAATGGATGAAAAAGTTGAAGATGAAACGTGAATGCATTGGGAAATACATGTAGAGCTGAAAATAGGAGATATTAACATTGCACTCTGCACAAACGGGAAAGAAGCCATAAAATGCAAGCGCAGTCGTACTCATTTCCTCACCATATATCAAAGACCTATAGAAACAACAGTGAAAAATGTTGGGACAAAGAAGAGGAAGGGAAGGATTTTATTCATTGCTGAGGGGCTTCAAAGAAATCTGTTAACATTTTTGCTTACATTAAATAATGAATAAGAGTCAAGTCTTGGCCCTAAACCTTTTCTCTTGGCTGATTTGAAAAGGGCATGTTAAAAAGAAAAAGAAATTATTTTATTCCATATGCTAGTGGCAGCCCAAATTAGGTTTATGCAAACAAAATAAAATAGGGCAGTCAACAAAAGAATGGATAAAAAAACTAGCTATTCTTGGTAAAGTAACCAGATACATACATGCTACATAATCAGTTTTGGGCAAGGGAGAGATAGAAATGGTTCAGATATGAGAAGAATTCTAAACAAGACACTGTTATGGGAGAAAGTTAATTTTACACCTTGGCTAAATTAATAGGAATATAATATAAGTAACTTTTAATCCCTCCCATGACAATGGAATATCCTTGGAATGATCTTTGGAAGGGAAATGTCAAGATTTTAGAACTTAACTGACAAAAGTAATGTATTAAATATCAATTAGACAATATTAGTTACACTGAGTTACTGAAGACTGTCCCAGAAGGATAATGGTGAACAACAGTGAATTAAGGGCAGCTGCCATTTGTGCCTAGACAGAGGGAGAGCCTGAGAAAGATATCAAGGAGTGACAAAAGAGAGCAGTGAACCAGACAGGAGAGGAGATCAGAAAGAGATGGATTTTAAAACTCATTCTTAGTCAGCTAAGATGGCCAGAAAAGACTATGGTCCTTACCACGCAGATCTGAGCCAAAAGGAATGAGACCAGGCATTCCCAGGCCATGGTAGGGCAACTAACCTTCTATGGCCTGGGAAGGCATGCGGGGTCATAGAAATACAAGAATCCACCTCAGGCAGATCATTGTTTCTTCTAGTGTTGTTACTTCTAATTCACAGTGTCTGTCCAGGATTTCAGGCAGCATTCTTTCTGCTCCAACTCAGCTTAGCTCCTGGAATAACTGGATGCATCCAAAATAGTATGGTGCCACAGGGCATCATGTGTTCTAAGATTACAGGGCGATTTTCACTGGGCAGGAACATACAATAATCAATATGAAACCAGGAATTCAAAAAAGTGAGACAAAAAAACTGAAAGTATGGCTGCTTTCAAAAGCATATGTAGTCCAGGGTTTCTAAAGCCATTATATTTTTCTGAAGATGAAAAGGGGTAGAGATAACAAGGCTGCTTTCTGAAAAGTAGTAGATACAATAGTATTTTTGGTGCTGGCAGAAGTCACAAATTTGCTCTAGGCTCTTAGCATTACAATTTACAAGTCAAAAAACGGCAGGATCAAAGCTTGGGAAGCAAATATTCCAAGCAGAGTTCTTTTACTAGTGGAAATTAAAATGAAGCTATATCTATTAATTCCCTACTGGTAAAGAAGAAAAAACAAAAATATTAATAGCTTTTACCAAACCTAAGTAGCTAATACAAACTCTTTGTCACAGTTACAGCTGCATAATGTGTTTTGTCACCAGGTACCACAAAATAAAGTGCATTACTGATAATATGAAAAATAAGTAACTTGGAAAGCAGGCCTATAATTGTATCTTTCTCATTCATAGTGAATGCACTCCATCTCATAAATATAAACCGCAGAAACCTCTGTGTTGCAAGGTTGGAAGACCAGCAGTCATAAGATCGAATCCACGTGACAGATTGAGCTCCCGTCGCTTGTCCCAGTTCCTACCAACCTAGCAGTTCAAAAGCATGTAAAAATGTTTACGGACAAACGCTGGCTCTGCGGCTTAGAAACAGGGATGAGCACTGCCCCCTAGAGTCAGACATGACTGGACAATTTATCTTACATATCACATGTTACAAATACAAAAAGGAATGGATTATTTATTAAAAAAGAAATTGCTAGACTGCTTTAGTTCCGCTCTACTGTTAATAGAGAGCTGAGAACAAAGGAATAAGAATGATCTTTCATTTGTAGACAAAGGGCACAGTGTACTGGCACAATAGCTGCTATTTGGAATGTTTTTGGTGCTTTTTGGTTTATGGCATCACTTACTTTATTTAACAAAAAGAAAAAAAGGAAAGTAATTGTGGCCTGCTGAATGATGGCCATGGGAAAAGGCAGGGAAAGGCCAACGTTTGTCCCCCCCCCCAAAAAAATCATTGACAGGTGACAAGAATATTTTTCTCTTTCTCTCTCCCCCCCCCCTTAATTTAGACTTAGTGGTTGCTTGGAGGAGGAGGAGGAGGAGATGTGTGGAAAGTAAATGAAAGCAACTGATTGAAAACCCAGCTGGATTGGTGATTGGCTTTCCACGCACACAAACACATACAGAGAGAGAGATGCACATGAAGAATAAGAAGCTATCTTTGGGTCAGAAGCTCAGGCTTTCAGAGTCCAGCGGTAGAACTACTGCCATTTCCTTACTGCCACCTCACAGGAGGAGGGAGGGGCCAACTGACTTCATGGACTTCACCCCTATAACGCAGTGCAGCCCCCGCAGAGCTCTGGCTGAGAAGAAAGGAGGGAAAGGGGGAGATGGCCTCCCTTCCATCTCCCCAATTTTCACCCCAATATTTTACGCTCCTGCTGGTACTGCCAATGCAGTGGGCTTGATGCACCCCTGGTGGGGCTGCTGCCTCCTTGCTCATGATTTTTTAGATGGAATGTTCTGCATAACTGCTTTGACTGGATTTTCAGTACTAATTGTGATTTCCATTTTTGTGTTTTCCATTTCTCAGAGTGGCATTTTTAAATATATCTGCTACTTATTGTTCTTGGATTTTAATATTATCCTTTAAAGATGTAAGATGCCTCTTTATACTCATTGTTTTTACCTTTAAATATTGTCTTTCAATGTTGTAAGTTGACTCCTGTCCATTTCAAGGAAAGGTGGGGTAAAAATATTCTAAATAAATAAACCAAGTAAACCTTGCATACAAGTAAACTGGTGATTCAATTACCTGTCTGGACCCTTCTAATGGGAGAAAAAAAAGCATTGATCAGTATGAACTCAAGTGATTGTGCTAAGAACTTTTTAAGCACAAACCAAACTGGTCCAAATTCCCCTGTCTGGACATACTATAAGTGATAAGCTTTTATTTAATGACTGACAAGTTCTCACAACTTCATCAAACAAGAGCTACAGAAATCTGAATGGGGAAGGAACTGGCTTTGAAGACAGATTTAACAGTCTGCCAATTTAGGAGGAGAACTTACCATAACAACACCTCCAGACTGTTCTGCAGTACACATGCTCATTATAGGTGCCATGCCAATGGTTGTACCTTGGAAATAGACTCCGCTGGTGGAAGGAAAAGAAGTAATTTAAAAAAGAGACATTCACAGTAAGGAGCTGGCATTTAGGAGGCAGTCAGCTTTTTAGCGGCAAATAGCTAAGAGCATCTTGTTACTTTCTGCTCTGTAAGTGCACATCTTAAAAACAAAGATAAACAACTTTGGCTCATTTTCTGACCCTTCCTCTCCCCCAGCAGGGCTGCAGACTACCAAAGACAAACAAACAAACAAACAAAAAGTAGAAAAATTGGTATTTGGTGGTGTTAAATACTAAAGGGGTCTTCTTCCTTTATTTGGAAAGCTCCTGGATGCTTCTGGAAACAGCAATTCACCTGTATTGTTTAGGAAATCCATTTGAGGGGCAGGGGATGGTGATGCCAGATGAGGCTAAGGTAAAGGTAAAGGTTCCCCTTGACATTTTTTAGTCCAGTCGTGTCCGACTCTAGGGGGCGGTGCTCATCCCGTTTTCAAGCCGTAGAGCCAGTGCTTGTTGAAGACAGTTTCTGTTGTCACATGGCCAGCGTGACTAGGGAACGCCGTTTTACCTTCCCATCAAGATGGAATCTATTTATCTACTCGCATTTACATGCTTTTGAACTGCTAGGTTGGCGGGAGCTGGGACAAAGCGACGGGAGCTCATTCCATCGTGTGGATGCGATCTTATGACTGCTGGTCTTCTGACCCTGCAGCACAGGCTTCTGCAGTTTAGCCCGCAGCGCCCCCACATCCCAGATGAGGCTAGGAAGCAACAAAAATGTCTTGGAAGGTGGTATGAGAACCAGGTCCACACTTTGTCCACCCTCTTCTAGGAGGACCGTGTTAAAATAAAATCCATCCTTCAGACTGGCTTCCACCATTCTGTTATTTTGACAAGCACCATGCTAATCACACTTGTTTGGTCCAATTCCTAATCCCAATTAGATCAGACACACTGAATGAAGGAGACTTGTTAAGTCAACACTTAACATATTGTCTCATCTGCACCTAGTCCATTAAAACTCTAGGATTCACAGAATCCTGCATAGTAGTGTTTCCTAACTTTTTTTGAGTTTCAACACAGTTTATAATAGACAAGTTAACCTGCAACCTCCATCATATTTGCATAGAAAGATATTTTTAATGAGGTAAAGAAAGCACATTAGAAAGAGATTTTTCAAAATATTTTTCAAAATATTTAATGCAATGGTTATACTTGCATCTGGGCAACCAGTTTCAAAATTCATAGTTGCGTGTTTGTAAAAGCCACTCCACCCCAACAGTCCCTTAATATGCTCTGGGAGGTGGAGGTAACGAGTGGGTTAAAATTGGGCTTTACTGGGGAAGGATCAGTTTTCCCTCAGGAAGGGAACGGTTGCCCTTTTCATCATCCCTTCAAGCAGTGTCTCCACTGCCTCAGCTATCCTCTCTAAGAGGCAGTGGTGGTGCGGGTTGAGGCAAGGAAGTAGCTTCAGTAGTGGTGGCGGCATTTTCCTCCTCTACCACCATTTCTCCTCCTCCCCTCCTGCCTGCTGCTGCCTCTTTGCCTCTCAACAACCACTGCAGCTGGACCAGCTCTCAGGGGCTATGGCTGGGTCCCACCTCCTGTTCCTTCCCATCCCAGTACTCTGCCCAAGCTAGACAGTCAGCCGCTAGAGCTGAGGAGGAGCCACCATTGCTGCCACTGGAGAAGGAGAGAGAATGCAGTCAGGGGCCCAGCAGGGAATGAATGGAGCCTGGCTTGATTTGTGGGGCATGAGTTGAGGGTGATGTGTCCCCCTCTTCCAAAAATTGTAGTGATTCCCCAGAAAACTCTTTTCAACCCCCTTGGGAGTTGCAACCCACAGATTAAAAACCCATGCTCTATAGCATAACTCATACTTTCTCATCATCTAATTCTTATATTGGGAGACATACCTCACAAGCTGTGCATTGTCGTGGGGTTTACGAGGTAGTAGTTTCAACTTTCGCCAATCCAGAAATTCATGGAGGCTGGTGAAGGGATCTTGGGTTATTGTGCATTTATCTGCATCATTCCAGATCTCTACTCCAGCTAAGGCTATTCGAATATTTAATGGCCTATAGAACTGATGAGAAAACAAAACCAATACATTGGATTCTATTTACAGAACAGTAGAATGCATGTTAAAATAATTAATATAGAACAGGCTTAGTTTTGTATCTTAAGGAAATGAGATCATGCATTCTGATTATGCCTGTACAGCTTTTACCACTCCTTGAATTTTCATACACAGAATGCAATGTGCCTGCATAGCTGACAGATTGTAAACAGGACAGTGTTCATACTGAATGTCTTGGAATGTTTGCCAAATTGCCTTATTCAAATATCGCACACAGATTAGGACATCTGATAGTTCTGAAGATGAGAGAGAGGGGCATTGGGCAGCTAAGCATTGACAGAAAGCTCAGTCTTGCTTTAATTTCCACACCACACCACATTTAGGAACATGATCAAGATCATAATGCCAAAATCTCGGCCACAATTTTGCTTCCTATATGAACTGTATTCTTGTCCAATATTAATACAGGTTATCAGAGCCCTACAGTTTGGCCATGACTGACCCTCTTTAGAAACATTGTTCTTCCCCAGGTTGCTAGATACTTATCTATACCTATTTTTCCTAAAATATTTGAGATTAGAATATAAGAAGATGGCAAATCAAGCTAAACACCTATTTTAACTGAGGACATGTTCACATTGACAGAATAGCCTGCCATTTGGATTTGCTTTCTGGTGCTGTTTGGTTTATAGCATCCACACATGTTTTAACTCAGAACAATCCATCCCGCCCCTTTTTAGAACTGTCTCACCCCTTTTTGGCAGAGAAGTAGGGCTACCATTTTTTGGGCACAATTTGGAATGCTATTCTAGATCAACAAGATACATTGGTGGGATTATATGTACCATGCTAGGTAGATGCCCTGCTGTTTTGCTTTGTCACTTTATTTAAGAAAAGAGAGGAAAGCCTCCTTTCTGGACCCTTCTCACAGGAGAAGGAGCATTGATCAGCGTGAATGGAAGGATCGCTCAAGTGAGAGAAGAAATAGATCATGTTAAAGATAATAATTTTTAAAGCATGAATTAGACCACTCCCATCTGGACATGCCCTGAGCATTATTTTCAGTGTGGTCAACCTTTTGCCTATGGGAAGCCACAGCCACAGGCCCTACAGGTTAGGTGTGAGCGATAGGGCATTTGGTCTCTGGGGATGGAAGCTCATTTCAGCCAAGGGTGCATGGCTACCTTTCATTCCACAAATAATAATAATAAAAAAATAAACATTTTTGTATGCCATTATTTACATTAATTTTTTTTTTACCTCCAGGGGGACTCACCACATGAAATCATCTGAGCCTCATCTGAGTTCTTGGGGGGAGTGCAGAACCATATGAGCAAGCATAATACAAGTGAAATGGCTCCCTTCCGCTGACATTCCTATGCTCCCAGTACTTGGAGACAAACTACCTTTGCCACTGGAGGGAACATATAGCTATTCTGACATGTAGCTACTGATACAAAGAAATTTTTCTAGCCCTCTCCTCACTCGTCTAAGCCCTGAAACCATACAGGAGGTAAGACCCTCTTCCTTGTGCAAGGTGCTCTCGAGGGGAAATAATTTCAATAAGGATTGCATTGGATTGTTTTAAGAACTTGAACAAGGGTAGACTGCAGTCTGTTTCAGCAAAACCACCAATGAGCCATGTGGCACCTTGAAGACTAACCATTATTAGTCTTCTATTTAACTGAAGAAACAGGTTGCAGCCCAGAAAAGCATATGTTAAAGAAAAATTGTTAGGTTTTAAGGTGACACAAAGCCCATAGTGAGTTTTGCTGTAAGTGACTGGAAAACTACTTCAGCAGCCATTGTGGTTCCATTCAAATACTTTACCTTATCAACATAGTTTGCAATTTCTATCAGTCTCAGCTTCACCTTTTCCACATCCTTGCCCTGTCTCTGAAACTAGAAGAAAATTTGAATTTAACACTGAATAATCTCCATTTATACTACATTCATTCGTCATTCTATAGGCATTCTTCACTATCTCAGAGAAGGGTTTAATACTGACATCTTAGTTTTACACACAAAATGGGTCAGAGGCAACTATTTTAAGGCATTTCTACTTCTGTTTTCAATAGAAGCACATATGCCCTAAAACAAGAACAAACTGTGTGAAAGGATATAGTATGGTTCCCCCCCCCTCAAAAATCCCCTGTACCCACATAGCTGTCTCACTGGGACCCATTGTATTGCACATACAGAATAACTCTCCTTTCAGCTGTTTCTCTGCCACAGTAAGAAGACAAAGCTGCTATTTAACCAGAGTTGTTCAAGAGACAAAGTCTGTCACTTAGAAATGGGAAGAAATGTGAACTGGAAAACATTCAAAAGCAAGTTTTTCATTTTCAGTCACACTTCACTAAGTTGAACTACTTTTGACATTCAATCTTGTCTATTTGTTTTGAAGCTCTTTTGCAAATGTTCTGTAATTCACTCATTGTTGCTTAATTCAGGAAGCTGCACCTAAAAAACCAACACCACTAATACAAACCAGTTACAGATTTCTTGGGTCAATGTTAAATAATGCTATACATACCCACGCATCAAAAATTCACATCCACCCAAATTCATGTACACTCAAACAGTTGTAGGAGATTTCTGTTTAAGGAGCACTATCTATAATTAGAAGACTCCATAAATGTGGTCCATGTTTTCCAGTTGAGATATGAGAGAAGCAAACCTATCATCAGCCTGTAGATTCTAGGCCAGTGATAAATTTAAAGGGAAAAGATGACTAACAATATTACTTTCAACATAGTATCTAGCCTATCCCACAAAGCTGCTATATCATTCCATGCCCCAAATTACCCTTTATATTTAACAAAATTATAGGAGAATTCTGAAAAGTTTCCAGTTAGTACTTTCTGACTGCAATGGCCCAATGGGAAAAATCAGGCACAAAGAAGAATCGCTATGCCTGCCACCACTGTTCAGAGACATACAGAGGGTTCAGTGAATTGCTTTCTGTAGACTCCTCTGGAAATTGTTGTTTCACATGAACAATAATAATTCTAGGCAGGAGTCTCCATCGTGCCTTACAGAACAAAAGTTTCCAGAGGCCATGGTGCCAAAAGCAGATAAATAAAGACAGGGAATTTGACTTAATGAATAGGTGGCTCATTTGTATAACTGAGTGATTTAATTTACAATAATTTAAGGGTTAAGGGGGACTCTCTCGTTATTTCTCCTCCAGTTTAATTTGTTATGAAGGAACTATTAGAAGTAGGTGTTTTTGTCACCCATCTATATCTGGATTTATTTTTCTGCAAATTATGGAATTATTGGAGCTGTGGTCCCATTCTTCTACCTGCCATATTCTAACAAAGGTCTCAGGAAAAGATATTTCTCAGCTTTCCTATCCAGGGTCCTTGTTAAAACATGCATGTAGAACATGAGCTTGGTCAGTGAAATAGCTTTGATACAATCCATCACACACACATGAATAAAACAAAAAATCACTGACCGGTACCACAGAGTGGGATAGAGGGGTGAATCCAATTGCTACTTCCAATTCAGACTAGCCCTGAATAAATGGGCACTTCATACATGTAAGTCCTACTGATGCAGTGAGTCTATTCTAATTGGGACTAGGAACTAGATTTAGCCAATGGTATTGGCAATTAATTTTTTTCTTTCTCACCAGTGGAGAGAGGATATAATGGAACAGATTCCTCACATCACACACAAAAAACATATCAACAGGAAACAAAAAACAAATGCAAATACAAAAAAAGAAGACAAAGTTGTTGTGGCACATTAAAGACTGTTATATTTTAATGTGAACTTTCATGGAATAAGCAAAAATACCATTCTTATGTCTGAAGAAGTACATTTGTTCCATGAAAGCTCACATTAAAATGTAGCAGTAAGTCTTTAAGGTTCTATAAAGTCTTTGTCCTCTTTATTTATTTTTTGCACTTGCATTTGTTTTGTTTTTCAAATCTTTTTGACATGCCTGCACAGACTAACACAGACTAACACTTTGAAAACTATTACTAAAAACAGACTATCTTCAAGGCATATTATTCTACTCATTTTTATGATGTCAAATAACTTTGTCAGCTACAGTTTCAGCTTTAGATTTTGTTACCTCTCGATTATCAGCCACTATAATGAGCTCCACATATTTGGTGGATTTCATGGCTTCCCTCTTGCGCTACGACAGAAAAGGAATAAATGCTGTTAACACTCGAAGAAACCAAGGCTTATAGGTAACTATTTCCTACAACAAGTCTACTGTACAGAACTATTTAATCACCATTATTAGTATGTATTTTAAAAAATTATATTTCATTTAAATTTTATTCCATCTTTTATTCTCTCCCACATGGGATACCAGAGTAAACATCTCTCTCCCAAGATTGCCTAGCTTCACTAACATTACTGTGGAGCATGGTCCCAGAGCATGCCTGAGCATTCACTTTTATACATTTTTATACCTAGCATGGCTGGAATGGAGGCTTTCGAAAACAGAGGCAGATGTTCATGGCCATTTCTCAACGGCACAATCAAAGGAAGCTAGGCAAATGGAAGACAGTTTATGTCTTGCTATTTTATGACCCGGAGACAAAGAAAAATATTTTTTTCCAGCAAGCTTTAAAATTACATGGAAATGCCAGGTGACCCACTAACGCAGCAAAGCATTGCATTTGTGATTTTTTTTTAAAAGGCTCCATAGACTTCATTTGAACATCTCTTTAAAGTTACTTCAAAAGATGCAGATAATTTATTCATTAGCTATATAGTTATTTGTTACATTGATGTCGAAAGACAATAATGACGGTAATATTGGGAAACAGTAGAAAAGAGGAAGATTGAACATGAGACAGATTGACTCCATAAAAGAAGCCATGACATTGAATATGCAAACCCTAAGGATGAGTTTTAAGTATAAGATTTTGGGGGGTCACTCATTTATGGACTTGCATTAAGTCAAAAACAATGTGACCACACATAAAATGTGTACCTCACTTTTCCTCCTCCTATAAATTAAAAGCATATATATGTGTACCCATTTCCCACTGTATCCTCACAAAAATCCTGAAAAGATTGTGAGATTGCCCCAAGATGGCTTTATAGCAAAGTGGGATTTGAACCTAAGTCTCCCTATGCCCTATTCTGGTACCATAATCACAACATCACCAGTTGCTCTGTTTAAATTTCAACAGGATTTACCACTATCAAAGGAAAGTCATCTCAATGCAGGAAATTTCTATGGCTACCACACTCTCGTATCTCACCTTAATGTGGTCTGGATCACTCAATCCAGTGAGACATGTTACAAGAGCCCCGCTGGTCACCCTCCCATTATGCAAAACACCATATCCATAAGTGATGGTATTACACATCAGGTAGGCAGGTGGCCAGTTAGCTAGGAAAATAAAGGAATCATACTTCTGCAGTGACCTTGTGGAAATATGAAGATGGAAGATGTAGGGTAAACGAATAGGAATAAATAGGCAAATATTACAACTGTCCATAGATTTAGATCTAGCTGGTTTTCAACCTGCTGAAACCTGTTTGCAGAACTTCCTGTAAAAGCAATGAAGCCATAGGAATGAATGCTGGAGGATTATGGAAGTTGTAGTCCAATAAAGGAATGTTTCCAAGCTATGGTACTATGCATTTTACTGCATTTCCTGCTTTGGCAGAAGGTAAAGCTTGATGATTGCTTTCTTGGGATGAAAGCAATGACAAACTTAGACAGCATCTTAAAAAGCAGAGACATTGATTAAAGGTTTATATAATACTTTAATGGAGCAAAAAATGGAAGATGAAATTGTGAAGGATTGCATGGTAAAGTGGGCTCAAAATATAGGACATAATATAGAATTAAGTGCCTGGTCGCAAATTTGGGAACGAAATATTAAAATGACTAAATCTATAAATCTAAAAAAAATATTTACAAAATGTTTTATTGATGGTATATGACACCAGAGAAATCAACAAAAATGTTTAAAAATGTTTCTAACAAGTGCTGGAAATGAGAAAGGAATGTAGGGAGCTTCTATCGCATGTGGTGGACGTGCAATAAGGCCAAGGAATTTTGGAAAATGATTCATGAAACTTTAGGGGTTAAAATTGCTTTGACACCAGAAAGCTTCTTACTGAATATATTACCACCTGTACTCGAAAAAAATACAAGACATACTCGACCTTACACCTGATAACGGCAGCTAGAATTGTATATGCCAGTAAGTGGAAGATGACAGAGATCCTGACAAAGAAGGAATTTACTGAAAAGATTTTGGAACTAGCAGAAATGGATATTTGACAGATACATTAAATGACAGATTGAATAATAATAAATGGGAACCTCTTTATACCTGGATGAAATCTACATCAACCTAAGTAGAATAGATTAGATCAAAACTATGTTAGAGAGTATAAGATAAGATTAAATGAATGGAATATATTGTAATAAATCACTCTGGTTGCAATGGATTGAAAAGCAGAAAAAATACAATAAAATGTTTTTTAAAAAGCAAAGAAATCACCTTGCCGACAAAGGTCCGCATAGTCAAAGCTATGTAGTGATGTATGGAAGTGAGAGCTGGACCATAAAGAAGGCTGACAGCCAAAGAATTGATGCTTTTGAATTGTGGTGCTGGAGGAGACTCTTGAGAGTCCCCTGGACTGCAGGGAGAACAAACCTATCTATTGAGAAGGAAATCAAGCCTGAATGCTCAGTGGAAGGACAGATCCTGAAGCTGAGGCTTCAATACTTTGGCCATCTCATGAGAAGAGAAGACTCCCTGAAAAAGACCTTGATGTTGGGAATGAGTGAAGGCAAGAGGAGAAGGGGATGACAGAGGATGAGATGGTTAGACAGTGTCATGGAAGCTACCAACATGAATTTGACCAAACTCTGGGAGGCAATGGAAGACAGGAGGGCCTGGCATGCTCTGGTTCATGGGGTCACGAAGAGTCGGACATGACTTAACGACTAAACAAGAACAACAACAAGGCTTGATGACCCTTGGGGTCTCTTTCATCTCTGTACAGTAGTTCTATGATTCAAGGGCTGTAACCCTCTTCTTCTTGAGCATAATAATTTGCATTAGAGTAGGCCCAATGAATCAGTATGGACGTGGTGAGTTCACCTCCATAAATCCCATTGATTGAACTGGGCCTACTCTAGCTGCTACCTACTTTGTGAAAGTAAGTCTTAACTAGAATACAGTTGTGCCTCGCTTTACGATTGCCCCGCATTATGACGAAACTGCATTACGACAATCTTTTTGCGATCACAATTGCGATCGCAAAACGATGGTCTGAATAGGGGTTTTTCCCTTTGCAATGATCGGTTCCCTGCTTTGGGTACCAATTCTTCACAAAACAACGATTTTCCTCCAGCTGATCGGCGGTTTCAAAATGGCCACCAGGTAAATGAAATGGATCCCCACTGTTTTCTGGGATGGATTCCTCGCTGCACAGGCACCAAAAATGGCCACCCTATGGAGGATCTTCGCTGGACGGTGAGTTTCCAGCCCATTGGAACACATTGAAGGGGTTTCAATATGTTTCAATGGGCTTATTTTCACATTACGATGTTTTCGTTCTACAGTGATTTCGCTGGAACGAATTAACGTCATAATGCGAGGCACCACTGTAGGTCCATTTTAATCAGTGGACTTTACAGAGGAGGTGACTCACCAAATCTCAGCTGATTCATTAGGCTTACTCTTCGAGGCACCACTGTAGGTCCATTTGAATCAGTGGACTTTACAGAGGAGGTGAATCACCAAATCTCAGCTGATTCATTAAGCAACAAGATTTCAGCTTATGAACCTATTGGCTTTCTAGCATGATGAAGTTCCATTTTATCTTCCACAAACTTCTAGAAGCTTAATAAGGACTTTGGTTAGGTATTGCCCTGAGCAAAGAAAGTGTTAGGAAATGTGCTGAGCAAACAAGTCTTGATTTATCTAATTGTAAACTTAATAAAAACTAGATGTTGGCCACATGCACAGTTTAGAAAAATAACTACAAAAACTGATGCAGCTTGGACTAGAAGTTGAGAATCTTCTAACTAACATGGCGAATGGCTACAATGGCTAGGAGATTCTGGAAAGCATAGTCCAAAGCTATTGTTACATAGCTAATTTGTCTTAGACTGATCTTGTAAAACACAAAAGAGAGAAATACAGTGTCCACTTACCCGGCCAGTAAATGTCTGAAGAGGCTGTACAGTATCTTGAAGTGTGACACCTGAGATGTTGAGATGATAGCCACAAGAACCGGGGGCTAATTTTAGCTTCATTGCTTCATATATTACATGCTCATTTGTAGTACCTTCCAATGGCTCCAAAATATAGGCTTTATCTCCGAATAAAATAAGTCCCCTGTGGTATAAAAAGATGTAAGTGAAGCTTTCTTTTATAGAGTTGAAATATATTTTATGTTGGGTTTTGCAACCAACGGATGGATTTTTAATAAACATGAAAAGGTACCTTAGGTTTAAATCAACCTGTGATGAAGCACTAACTATAAATTCTGTACATCTGTAGTTTTGGTATCTAGTTCACTATGCTAAGATAGTATTTCTCTGTACTTACAACCAGAGTCAAACCATATTTGCAAGAACACATTACAATTTCTCAAACTTTGCAATGTCCTGAGCAAAAATCAACACATGGAAATAATATTGTATTTAAAATTTTAATACGAGTATTCAGCAAACACACATAAGAAATTGGGCTGAATTTACAAAAGGTCAAAAACCTATTGGCTGAAATTCAGTAGCAAGCTCCAATTAGAGTAGGCCCTTTCAGTCAGTGGAAATGTGGTGAGTAAACATGTTTTTAAGTTTCACTGATACAATGGGCCGACTCTAGCTGCAATTCTACTGGAGTTTAGCCATTAAGTCCAATTTAGAAGTCTGAGGGCTTGGCTATATAACTTTGATGGCTTGGCTTAAGGTCAAATACCAATCCAGTATGCCATTTGACTAAGCTGGCTTCTTAAGCTACTCAACGATAATGGGAAATTGAAAGTAGAAGGGAACTGTAAAACAGCAAGCTCTGCTTTGATTCAGTCCCAGTGATCCTACATGCTGGAAATGAACTAAAATGGAATGATCCTACCTGCAACTAAAAAGGTGACCCAAAAAGGTGTCCTCCTTCTCTGGGGAGGAGCTGTTTTGTGCTGGCACCTATAGGATCAAATCATCCTGCAAGGTGTCCTCCTTCTCTGGGGAGGAGCTGGTTTGTGCTGGCACCTAATCATCCTGTCCCTGTAGCAGACTAAACAGCAGGACGTATGCCCATTGAGTTTTATACTGACAATATTAAGAGTGGGTAAGTATAGAATTCAGTAGGTAACAATAAAATTGTATTATACCATTATCAATTCAGGCCAAAATTCAAGCACCGTCTTCTGTCCCAACAAGAAAACAGGCACCATGTTATGTTTCCATGTGCTGTCAAGTTGGAACTGACTTATAGCAACCCTAACAGGGCTTTCAATGTAAGTGAGATATTTAAGGAGTAGTTTTACCAGCTATACTTCCCCAGCCAATTTCCATGGCTGAGAGGGGATTTGAACCCTGTTCTCCAGAGTCCTAGTCTGTCACTCTATCCACTACACCACACTGGGTATCAGGCAGTCTATTAATTAATTTGTTGCACTTAAGCATAACAATTCTCCTTGGGTTCCTTACTGGTAAAAATTTAAATCTTGCATTAATAAAAACCACAATGTCAAAAACATAGCAAGTCATAAAGACCCTTCCAGAATGAAGCTGGTAACTTTGCCCTGCTGGGGCCAGGATGAACCAGCTAAAATATACTCTTGGGTTTTCTTTCAGCTATCCTGCTTTTTGTTTTATAGCTTCCCTTGTGATACCTTGATTATTACTTGCTGAGTTGGATGTACAATGAATTAAAGCATGACTGCTTGAACTGAAACATAATGCCAACCCCCTACACTGGGAATGTTCAGCTAAGACACACAAGGTCTCTACCTTGCCTCCGATGAATGCATGCTGGAAACAACGTAAAAACTTTAACATTACAGCACACTACATTAAATGGAAAGAAAATGGCTCTTTAGGCAGGCCTTCCCTCCTGTCAATACCTAATTTATTTATTGCTATCTTCAATTGTATTAATATTGTTTTGTTTTATTTTATTGGACTGTTGTTAGCTGCCCAGAGTAGACTTCTGTCTAGATGGACGGGGTATAAATTAAATAAATAAATAAACAAATGCATTTGCACAGTACTCTTCAGACCCTTATGCTCAACTGGCAGACATCTGACTTCCAAGTACAGGGATATTTGGAGGCAGAACTTACATGACTGCTTACTTCCTCATCATGAAGTTCACCTTTCACACATATGAATTAATGACTGAATTAATCGTCATATTTGGAATTTGGAAGGTTGTGTTTCCGGATTGAAGTGGCTTGTTAACTGGCAGACATCTGACTTCCAAGTACAGGGATATTTGGAGGCAGAACTTACATGACTGCTTACTTCCTCATCATGAAGTTCACCTTTCACACACACACACAAACAGGGAGAGTGTACATTATCCAAAGTCGCATGTACTCTTTATTTTGTTTTGTATTTTTGACTAATTTGTTCTCTGCACAGTAGAACCTGGATTGCACTGTCTAACCCACTGCTGTTTCTGATGCAGGTACAGACATTCTGTTACAGTGAAGCAATTCAACTAGATATCCTCTGCTTCCCTGGATTTCAGTTGTTACGTGATCCAAGCACTCCTAAGATTAATATCACTGTTTTTAGAATGGATGATTGGCTATGGATGACATGTTAATGCGGTAAATCTAAACCTCAGTGTGATTAGAGGACTAGGAATGAATATCGTGTGCCTTCCAGAAAAAAGGAGAGTAGCTCAGAATGTTTTAAATATATTTCCCACTAGGGAAAAAAGTGTGGAAGAGTCTGGGCCAGTATTCAGATTTGTTGGCATTACTGTTCTTTCTACAAAAAAGGATTCAGTGTTGTAAGTAGTTATATGCTGGATCAGATTAGCAGATGTTTATTTAGGCTCTTTGTGGTTTTCCAGACCTGCACAACTTTCATAAAGTCAGTATCTCTCACTAAGATTCCATTACTACTACTACTATGGCCCACTGAGGCACATGAAAGGTAAGAATAGTGCTTCCCAACCTGGAGGAATAGGTTTCCATGGAGATACAACAGGCTCCTTCCCTCATTATGTTCTGGAAATTGCTGAAGACAATATTCAAAACTACATTCAACAATGGAGTATCCTGGATGCCGTTAATACCCCCCTTGTTCTCTCTTTTCTTTTGTGTATGATTTTTAAATCACCATACTGTTGTATTTATTGTTGCTTATTAGCATTGTTTAGGCACTGAACTAAACAATTCCAGAAAAATAACAGCACAAAGAAAATGTCATTGTTATTTGATCAATTAAATACAAATTAATCAAAATATGATGTTACATTGCTCATTTAATATGCAGTAGGACCCCTGTATCTGCTTGACAAGTAGTCACAGTTTCATTTCCCCCCCCCCCCCCNTACTTCAATCCTATATACAACACACAAGGGTATCCCCTTGTGGCTTTTGTCCCACCTCCTTATAGGTTTTTTATATATAGGATTCTTATTTCATTGTTTCAGTTATCCATAGTAGATTGTGGAGACAATCCCCATGGATATGGGTGTCCTACTGTATTGTAAGCCATTTTGGGCAGAAGTCTCTGAGAAAACAGCATATTAATCAATGCCAGAAGGTGTGAGAAGGAATAAAGAAAGGGGGAGGGGAGAGTTGATTGAAAACAATGTGTTTACATCATCTGTCTATAGACAAGTTGAGATATAGCTACCGGACTTAACATCAGGGAACTGTAGATTTAAACCCCTGCTCAGCATCTATACTGTTTTATCATCTTTCAATACAATCTACTTCTCAAGATTCTTTCAAGCATAAATTGTGTAGTGTCACCATAAGAAAGAAGAATCCACATGACTTGCCAGAGAACAAGTTTACCACCAGTGATGGGGGCAAGGTTGAATGAGCTGCCCAAGGTTCCCAAAGCCCCACCCTGCTAGCAATCAGAAGGGAGGCTTAGCTGAAGCGGCGGGGCCAGGGTTTCTGAAACTGACTTGAAAGACACAGCTTTCTCTCTCTCATGGTCTTCAGGGGCATGAGACAAATGCTCCCCTAGAGACTCACAGTCTCAGTCCTCCTTGGAGATCCCTGACCAACCTCCCTGTACTTGTGTGGTTTTGAAAGAGCATCCGCCTTTGAGATAGCAGGAGAGATAGTGGTTGCCTTCTTGCTCTCTTCAATCAGGCTAGTTCCTCTCTTTATTTCTTTTAGACACTGCTTGTGGTGGGATGATTTGGAAAATAGATTTGCATCTGTGATAAAGAAAGCTGGGGCCCTGTGTTCAGCTCTCCTACCTTTTGGGGTCCCTTTAATAAGACAGATACGAGCAACTTTAGCAGAGTTGGGAACCAATTTTCTGCTCTCCAGAACCCTGGGGAGTGGGTGGGATGGTGTCAACAAACTACTAAAACTGCCAAACCTCACAAAAATGAAATGAGATGCAGCTAGACATCCACTTCCACCCTGTTTCACTGAAAATAAGACCTAAAATGAAAATAAGCCCTAGTATGATTTTTCCAGGATGCTTGTAATATAAGCCCTAGCCCAAAAATAAGCCCTAGTTAAGTGAAACCCCGCCCTCCACCACTGTGCAGCAACCAGAAGATGACACGACTATACTTAAATAAATGTAGATTGTTGTACATGAAAAAAATAAAACATCCCCTGAAAATAAAACCTAATGCGGTTTTTGGAGCAAAAATTAATATAAGACCCTGTCTTATTTTCAGGAAAACATGGTAATTTTGAAAAAGGGATATCTTGGGTTGTTAACTGCTGCACGGGCAGTCTTCTGCCCCATTCAAATGATGGGATTTCTGAGAATTCTAGGAACTGCAATGGTTCTCATTATTGGTGTTCATGATAGTCTTAAACTAATTTCTAGAAACTATCAGAAATGCTATAGCCTCCAGTCAATTCTAACTAAGGTTTTTGGATACTATATTACAAGTGCATTTATAGCAGTGGCATAGGATGGGGGCCCTGGGGGCAGTTGCCCCAGGACATAACCATATTAGGGGTGCAACCACCACCCTTTTGCACCTCCCACACTCTGTCTTGCCACTAGGCTGGCACGGGTGGCTGCATCCATCTGTCCTCTTTCCCTCCCTCCCTCCTGCCACAGCCCCCCTCTGCCTGCGAAGGCTGTGGGCAACCAGGGGATGCCAACCATCCCCGGCCCAGAACAAGCACGGCACCAGGCAATGAAGATCGCTCTGTCGAGGAGAGCACA